AAAAACATAACCTAAGTAGTCTGATTCCTGAGTGTTTTTTTTAAAAGATAAACTGAATAACTGAATCCAGTTACTGAACTGAATTAACATCTGACTGAATTAATGAATTAGAAGTTATCATTATTTTCAGTGATGTCTGCATCGAAATAATCAAAAGCAATTTTTGTGTCAGAATTATTACTTATTGTCCTAACAACATGTTGGTAAGTATGTAGTAGTAAACTAGACACTACTGTTTAAAAGATTTTTTATGTTTTTGAAAGTTTGTTATGCTCACCAAGGCAATTTGATCGAAAATACAGATTTGATCTGTATTTGAAATAGTTTTATAATTGTTTTCTATTTGAACATACATTAAAACGTATATTGTATGTATATCATCAGCATACTTATATTATATATTCTGTAGGAACTGCACTATGTTTTCTCATACACCCTCATAGCCCAAAAGCTGTAGATGACATATTCAGTATTTATGAACACCCAAAAACACATCTGTGCACATATACACATATACACAGAGATCAGATGTAATCTGGCCACATCAGCTCAATAAGGTCTGAGAAATAAGTCACTTGTTCAAGCAAAGCAGAAAACAGATGGAGAAAGGATGAAGAGGTAAACAGCCATTGTGTGTTGCACAATGCAGAAAAAAACAAGCAGATGTGGGAGAAATCTTTGCTTTATTAGTTCTACCCATTTTTCCAAAGAAGACACACAAAAAATACACCAAAAGAAATATTTTGGACTTTTTCAAAAACCATTCAAAAAGGCATTGGAGATCATAATTAAATTAGAATTGGTCAGCAAAAGTGCTGCTATATAAGTGTTGAGTGATACTCAAAGTGTTCAAACTACTGTTAACTTCATGCTGTGTATTACATGGTTGCATGATATAAATGCATGTGCAGCTTATTCATAATGTTCATAATAAAAATGTTTTTATTCCTTTTTTGTCCTTTACATTTTAAGAAATAACATAAATGACTGCGAAATATGAGAACATGGCAATCCATGAAGGTTTATACAGAGCAAACCATTTATAAAGCTAATTTAAAGATGGAGAATGGCATATATTTTCAGTGAGTGCTATTCTAAGTGCTTATGTGGTTGCGTGCATGTGCTCTTTCTGCATAGAGTTGTCAATAAGGACATTAAGTGATGAATGCAGTCTAGAAGTTTTCAAACTGACAATCAAAGTCTGTCATTCGGCACAAGATGTACTTCCACTGCCGATCCCTGCAAAGCATTAAAAAAAACAGACTGTTATCTCCCACAAAAGGAAAACAATTTTTTTAGCCATTAAAAGCAACTAAAACCATTACGTTAATGTATCCATCTGTTTGATTGTTATTTTGACATAAATGCATTAGTGTCAAAACCACTATGTGCAAAGGAAGAGGAAGTGCTCATACAGACCTCAGTACACCACTGAAAGTAGTTTGAGCCCCCCTTATGAAGTAGCCATAACTGGGGATTACCATCTCCCCCTCTTCTTTGTAGTATTCTGGAACATCACTCGTCTTCCTGTGCACAAATCATGAAAATTCATTTAAAGGAAAGGTTATAAGTTATGTGAAAAACATCCTATTGTACAGTTTTAATCTAAATATCAGAGGACACATAATCCTAAAATCTATAACAGCGTATAACTTGTGATGTATAGAGGTTGTTTAGTAACTGTATGAGCCTATTAGATCACCATTTTTTATTCCAAGACTCACCAGCAGGAATATGGGCACCTGCGGGCATATCGACAGCAGTAGAATTGCCATTCTCGATCCAGAACCGCTTCAAAGTACTTACTTTGCACACCAGCAACCAGCCCATTGTTAGTGCAAACTGAGGACCTGTAGACAGTACAAATATGGATTTTATATAGAGTGAAGAGGCTGAACAACAGACACTTGTTATTTTTTAAATGAATATGAATCCTTCAAAACAAAGCTTTGGAATGTTTGTGTATTCCACGGTTCACATGTGGCATATGGTTGTGTGAGGTGTGCCTGACTTTAGCTATTGACCTTTTTTTGTGTGCATCTTCCTGTTTATACTGAAGGGCTGACTAAAACTGCAAGAGGAATGTGTGCTTGACAAACATTCATGAACACAGCATTAGGTCTGTCCTTTTTGTCTGGCGCCATTAGTTCCATTTTGCCATTGCAGGGCTTTAAATGAAGATCTTGAAATTAATCTTTTTGATTTTTCACAGGTTGTTACCAAATATCGGTGTCATTTGACCGCATATATTCAGAAAAACAGCGGTGGGTGAGATATTGCTATTGAACAGCAGTTAAATAAGAAGTTAATATTGAGTAACTTCGATTTTATTTAGTCTGTTTTTGCTTTGCTAATGACAATAGTTCCAAACAAAGCCACAGTAGTCCCTGTGCAACAGATTGTAGTGGGATTTTGCTTTCTGTTTGAATCATTGTTTTTGAATTATCGGTTGAGTGAATGATTCAATGACTCATTCATATAGACATTTGACTGGTTTGGTTCCAGAAAGAATCAGCATTGTTGAATGAATTGGTTAAAGGGATAGTTCACCCAAAAATGAAAATTACCCCATGATTTACTCACCCTCAAGCCATCCTAGGTGTATATGACATTCTTCTTTCAGACAAATACAATCGGAGTTATATTAAATAATGTCCAGGATAATCCATGCTTTATAATGGGAGTGGATGCTTGCCCAAAATTTGAAGTCCAAAAAATTGCACCCATCAATTATAAAACAGGTCCACACGGCTCCGGGGGCTTAATAAAGGCCTTCTCAAGCGAAGCAATGTGTTTGTGTAAGAAAAATATCCATATTTAAAACTTTATAAACTGTAATCTCTAGCTTCCGCTAACTGTTGTCCGCGCATTCACGAGAGAGTGGCGTCCCAGCTTATGACGTTTTTTTTCATTTTTGGGTGAACTATCCCTTTAAGTGAATGTTTCATCGTCTCTTTCATAAAGACAATTCACTTGTTTCATTGCTGAAGGAATCAGTATTGTTGAATTAATTGGTTAAGTGAATGTTTCAATTACTCATTCATAAAGATAAATCACTTGTTTTATACCTGCATGAATCAGCAAGATTGAACGAACATCATTCAATGACTCACTCATAAAGACAGTCCCTTGCTGGCTTCTGTTGGTGAAATGATGTAAGCTGAAGGAATGCATGGAGTGATACAGTGAACATCCCAGTGCTATTGGGTTCCTGTATCAACACTCTTGGTATGCCACTCGTCCAATCAGATTTAAGGACTTGAACTAACTGTCATATATGCATAACCCACAATAGTTTTAGCATATTTAACCCATGTAATTAAACTTCCGCAGGTATGATAAACTTTGACTTTTGACCATAAATAGTCAAATGTTTGTTACAGCAGGAACGAGTTTACCCGTCATGGCTAGTTTGCAAAACAAGTTTTTACATGTCATTGCAATAATTTTAAATTGCTTTAACTAGTCAATAATTATAAGACTGAGAAGTTGATTTTCATATAAATTTTTCTTAAGCCAGCAAATGTCAACTCTGAGGTGGCTGTGAGACGGGGAGTAGTTTTTAAGGTTTTCTGTAAATACAGGTTTATTTAGGGTTTATGCTTGTTTATGGCCCATACAAACTGTTGTCATCACAACAGGGACACAAACATGAGTTCTGCACTGCTCCCAAGCCACCAGCAATGCCAGACTTTTGTCATAGCAACACTAATGCTATGGGCAACTATTCCACCAATAGGAAGTAGGCCAGGGCCTTCTCCCAGTGGAATGTCATCTATGACGTATAGTGCAAATCAGAGACACTGTTCTTATAATGTGAAGAGGGAAAAAGGAAGTAAGATCCTCTTAAAAAGCAGCTATTGATATAGGTGGGGTATATATTCAAATTATGCAATCATGTAAACAACTGATTCTGAGGTGAATGTATAAATGTAAAAGGCACATATGTCCGATATGGCATATATATATATATATATATTATAAATTATATTATAAATATATTTGGTAAACAGCACAGCTTAAGGAAACATATTTTTCAAATTGAAAATATATTTTGATTAAACCATGAAATGCCAAAATATTTATAAAAATTTTTGTCAGGGGGCAAGAAAATACATTTTGGATTTTGGGAAAATGCATTTTTGGTAACATTTTAGTATAGGGACCAATTCTCACCATTTTAACTAGATGCTTATTAGCATGCTTATTATTAACATATAGGCTGTTTATTAGTAATTATAAAGCACATATTCTGCATGACCATATTATACATCCCTAATCCTACCCAAAACCTAAACTTAACACCTACCTTACTAACTATTAATAAGCAGCAAATTAGGAGTTTATTGAGGCAAAAGTTATAGTTAATGGTCTGTTAATAGCGAGAATTAGACCTTAAAATAAAGTGAGACCCATTAAAAAAAAAAACATGTTTATTAGTTCTTATAACTCACATATTAATGCCTTATTCTGCATGATCATATTTCAGATCCCTTAATCCTACCCCATACCTAAACTTAACAACTACCTAACTATTAATAAGCAGCAAATAAGGGAATTTACTGAGGCAAAAGTAAGTTAATAGTAAGAATTGGTCCCCAAACTAAAGTGTGACCAAAAACTATATGAAGAAATATAAGTAGCTAAAACTTACTGAAAAAAAATATATATATATCAGGGCTGTCCAAACTCGGTCCTGGAGGGCCGGTGTCCTGCAGAGTTTAGCTCCAACTTGCCTCAACAAACCTGACTGGAAGTTTCTATGCCTAGTAAGAGCTTGATTAGCTGGTTCAGGTGTGTTTAATTAGGGTTGGAGCTAAACTCTGCAGGACACCGGCCCTCCAGGACCGAGTTTGGACAGCCCTGGTATATATGTTATCAATATTAAAGGTGCTGTATGTAGGATTAACACAGAGTGGTTGAACTAGGTATTGCAGTCCAAATTCAAAATATTGGAGAGGGTTTTTTTCACCCGGCCCCTCCTCCTCAGACTTGACACACAGGCAGGTTGCCAGATTGACGACACCAACAGAAACGAGCGCACTTGACGATGAATGAAATGAAATACGCTGTGTTTTCGCCAACTGGCAACCCGGGGTGCCGAAATACAATTGGGTAAACTGGCAGTGGGCGGGTTTCCCAAACCAAAACAGAGACCGAAAATCCGGCCCAGAACGCAGATTTTCAAAGGAGAATAACTTACTGTAGCATTGTTTTTCAGATAAACAAGTATGTTAACTTAGCATGTTTCTTAAATATCTGCAAACATATTATGGTATTTTTATGCTTTAGTAGTGTCAAAAACTTACATACAGCACCTTTAAGAATACATTTTTGGCCATTTTTTATATTTTAAATCAGTCCACAAATTGTGAAACTGATCTAAAGAGCATAAGATGATTTTTTAATTGTAAGTTCCCAGCATGCAGTAAGACTGACAGACAGTATTCCCTCACAAAGCTCTAGCAGTGCGCAGCAGACAGGGACTGAGGTCATTGGCACTGGCTCTAAAGAAATCTTACAGAGTGGGCAGTAGATCAGGGAAAACTATACTGAGTCCAATTAACCCACTGGAAAAACTCCCCCAATGCTGCTGGAGTGGGTGGAGAAACCTTGATGGAGCACTGAATGGCCCTTGGCGCTGTTGCTTATGCCCTCAGAGACTGATCGCAGCAACCAGACATTTCCTGTTCTAACAAGCTGGAGAATTAGTAAAATAAGGTCACTTTTGTCATGAGAATCACACAGATTGTAAGTCATCTTAAAGGTCTTGCAGGAAGATATGTCTTCCAAAGCATGATATGAAGAGCCTGAGCCAAATAAAAAATCACAGAAAGTTACAGGGACATTTGTGGTGTTACAACACACTTCACATCATTAGAAAAAAATGGAGGAAGGAAAGAAGGCAATCATCTCACGTTAAGACATTACGGTTATTGTAGAGGGGAAAATCATGAGAGGGCTGTGAATCATTTTTCATGTCAGACCATTCTGGGCAAAACATTCACGTTCCTGTGGACAACCAGAGTCTAGATGCAGGAAAGACTATTTCATTGTCGAACACGAAAGTCGGTTTTGGATGAATAGCTCTTTTCATAATACTTATTGTTCCAAAGCAGCTTTGCAAAAAAATAGTGCCTTAGTAGTCCTGAGTGATCATGTCAATGTTGAGCATGACAAAGAAAGCAGCCAGTATAAAGTTGTTAAACCAGAGCACAGTATGCTTTTATTTATTGTAGCCACTGGTTTTTACCTTCAGTTTGAACTTTTTGCTTTTATATCAAGGCAGCAGCAATTAATTATCAAAATATCCATTCATAGAGTGTCCTGACACTGCAGCACTGTGAGTATAGAATGAGCTTGTAATTCCAGGACAAGTTTAATCCTGAATGTGTTCAAAACAACAAAGCTTATACTGTTCAATGCAGTTCAAGCAAATCTCATAAGTCTTTAATTGGTCAGATTTCAGTCTGAGAAGTTAGTCCTCGGGACTCTGTGTGAACCTGGCAAAAATGAGAGAATAGTGCATGCAGACATTTAATTTAATTAGTTGTAATTGACAGTCAGAAATGAATGTACTATGAGATACTGTTATGTTTGCAATATCCGCAATATTATTTCAGTATGAATGTTACAGTGATGTGAAGCTTTATTGTGCAGTTCTGTTTATACAATAAGAATGTAAAAATGACTGTTTATCATCACAATTAATTTTAATAATGGCTGCATTCTGTGTACTAAATAATTTCATCTCATTTGTGTTAATCTATTATGACGTTAATAAATGACACATCAACATTCAATTTCACATTCGGATTCCTTTGGAATGCGTATGTTGTTGTTGTTTAGATATTAGCAAACCAAACTGACCCTTGCACTTTTTGGAAGCCCTTTTAACAAAAAAAAAACAAAAAACTTCTATTAAGTTCTGTTAACTGTTTCCTCAGTTTCCTCTATTTTCTATAAAAACTTCCCAGCACTGCAGATGTGGTTAGAAGATGAGCACTCACATCATTACAATGTATACTAGCTCTTAATGCAACTAAAGAGACTCTGTTAAAACTTTGGATAGCAGCTAAAAAAAACATTCATATCTCTTTGGTTAAAAGTTATTTTGCAGAATCTCCTGGAGAGACTGGCTGGCAGCCTGGTTGAACACCATTCTTAAACTGGGGTGACTCATCAATCTGGGATTGACTTAAGTGGACAGATTTTTGCACACTCATTAAGTGATCAGTTTGTGTATTTAATGCATTTTAATATGTTTTTGACTTTTTTGCCTTCTTTTCCACATTAGCTGGTCATTGGTTTATCTGGCTGTGACAAGTATCAGTAGGTGGTAAGCAGTGGTGTTATTAATGCCCCAGTTTTTGTGGGTGTGTGTGAATAGTTTTTTAATTCTGGTTTTATGTTGCATGCAGAAATACATAAATAAATAATTCAATTCATATCTATTATAATAACTATAGATCATCTCAGAAATGTGTCGGATATTGGAACTGGAACTGAGATCGCGTGTAACCAGGACCGCATGACAGTTCATTAGAAGAGAAGAAGAATAATAACATGTCAGACCTACGTTCATGGGTCCAAGATGTTGTGCTGTAATTGGAATGAACACTGCAAACCTTGCAGTGCTTCAACAAGAAACCTTTTAACAAAGCCCAAAGTACAACATTCAATACAACATATAACACAACTTAAATTTGAAAAGTTATAGTGCTGTTCTTAATAAGATGTCACAGAACTGAAGTGATTCACAAATGTGCAATCAAACATGTCTGAGGTACATTTGTGGAGGCTTGTTAAAGTTTCATTTTGGCAGTAAACAAGGCCCTTAAACTTAAGTGTTGCCATTATATCTCTTCTGTGGCTTGTGGCTTACTGAGAACACTTCTATTAAGCTGACCTGAGGCAAAGATTAAATTACACTTATGAAATCTGGATTGGCCCAAACATCTGCTTGTGTTTCTCCAGTCCTATTTAAGAAACTTTCATTGTTTTCCCCTTGACAAACAAATGATCATGATGTTGTCAAAGCAAGCACTCAACTCTGAAAGCTAGCATTAGCTAGTGCTTTCAGTGAACATTCACATCTGAGTCTAATCACATGCAAGAGAGCTCTCCATTTTAGTTAGTGTAAACCCAGCATACAAACACCAAACCTTTTTTAGGAAAGCTCGTCAGAAAAATATTTGCAACACAAGGGATGTCTGTGTAACGTCAAAAATCATTTCCATATATCTGTCCAAAAAGATGATATTCCAAACCTGTCTTTCATTCATGTATGTGTATTCACTGGACAACTGAAACGGTGGAGAGTTATAAAATAAAAATTAATTAAATAAAAAATGACAAAAATATTCTGTTTGTTCTCTATGTATCGATATGTATTAAACACTTTTTTTAAAGAATATACATTGATCAGGGTGTCATTTCATGGTCTTTTCTGCTACACTGAATGTTATCATACAAAATATATATTTTCCGCAACACAAGGGTATCGCATTTGTGACCCTGGACCACAAACCCAGTCATAAGGGTCAATTTTTCGAAATTGAGATTTATACATTTTATGAAAGCTGAATAAATAAGCTTTGTTAGGATAGGACAATATTTGGCCGAGATACAACTTTGAAAATCTGGAATCTGAGGGTGCAAAAAATAAAGTTGTCCACATGAAGTTCTTAGCAATGCATATTACCAATCAAAAATGAAGTTTTAATATATTTACAGTAGGAAATTTACAAAATATCTTCATGGAACACGATCTTTACTTAATATCCTAATGATTTTTGGCATAAAAGAAAAATCAATAATTTCGACCAATACGTTTTTTTGGCTATTGCTACAAATACCCCAGCGACTTAAGACTGGTTTTGTGCTCCAGGGTCACATTTGTGGAGTTGCTTGCTGTGTAGTATCAAAAACTATTTCCAAATAACACTCCAAAAGTTAGAAATTCTTTATCTTTCATGCATTTATGTGTATTGACTAGACACTTGAAACTACAAAGTCCTAAAATAGTAATTATGAAAAGATGCATTCTTGCAATGTTTGGCAAACATGAGAAAAATATTCAGTTTATTCCATCTATTATATACTCTCTATGTATAACACACTTTAAAAAAATTATATCGAGTGGAACATCAGGGTGTCATTTCATGGTCCTTTCTGCAACAGTGAATGTTATCATATAAAACATACTTGCAAATGTGTTTTGTATTATAGAGAGACATAAAAAAAATGCATATGACTATATGGACCTGTGTTTGACAGTACACTGTGACCCGCATACATACAGACATACCATTCCAGCCCGGCTCTGTTGATATCGTCCCACCAGCATTCGTTAGTCCTAAAATAGTAATTATGAAAAGATGCATTCTTGCAATGTTTGGCAAACATGAGAAAAATATTCAGTTTATTCCATCTATTATATACTGTCTATGTATAACACACTTTAAAAAAATTATATCGAGTGGAACATCAGGGTGTCATTTCATGGTCCTTTCTGCAACAGTGAATGTTATCATATAAAACATACTTGCAAATGTGTTTTGTATTATAGAGAGACATAAAAAAAATGCATATGACTATATGGACCTGTGTTTGACAGTACACTGTGACCCGCATACATACAGACATACCATTCCAGCCCGGCTCTGTTGATATCGTCCCACCAGCATTCGTTGGGCTCTCCCCAGTCATACGGAGTCCTCTGGCACTCAAAGTTCCACAGGCGGTCCGAGCCCTCTTTCTCACTGAAGTAACTCTTGATTGCTACTAAGACCTCACCATGGGGACACTGAAAGTTGAAGCCCTGGCGCCAGGTATTCACCCACTCCTCACCGGTATCATGCATGTGGCCGTGCTGAGCGCTGACTGTGGAGAAAACCATCAGCAGGCACAGAGCCTGCAGAACATGTGCTGAGCTCATCCTGAAGTCAAACTCTGTGGAACTTCTCAATGCTCCCTCCGTCTTAAAGGCTCTCTGGGATGTGTTGTCCAGATGTTCTGCGTCCGGATCCAGGGGTGATCATTTTCACCATAAACAGATAGTTGCGGTCAGGGATTGAACTTTTTGTATTGTTAAGGAGAATGTTTCCAGCCTCCTCCCAGACTGTGCCGTAGACCCTGAGCTAGATTTTTTTAAAGAGAAATCTCACTTTAAGGCCAAACTTTTACGTAAACAGAATGGGCTTATTTTCAATCTATCATTCATTGTGTTAAACAGTGTGATGGAATGAGGAACTTTCACAGGAAATAACATTTGGACTGAGAAAACTAGTTATTTTTAATGAAACACACTGTAAAATGTGAATACAGCTAGTTGTTACTTGTTACTTCAAGTATTTCTAGCTGATCTGACTCTTAAGAATTATTTCCATTGGTAGGTTACAGCCGAATTTATTCAGATTAATATGTAGTCATGTTAAAGTAGTTTAGCCAAAGTTCACCCAAAAATGAAAATTCGCTTAAAATTAACACCCTCAGGCCATCCAAGATGTAGATGTATTTGACTCTTCATTGGAAGAGATTTTGAAATTTTGAAATTTTGCATTACTGACCAATGGATATATACATATACAGTATATGCATAATATTATATTATTATTATTATTAAATTATTCAACCCCTTGACTTGCAAGATATTTTGCTGCCGAGAACAAAATGTTATGAGAACAATTTAGCACAGGCATTTTTATTATAGAAAATGTATTAATACACATTTGAGTGATTCTGACAAAATAAAGTTGATGATAAATGAAAAAAAAAATCAAATTGGCTCTAAACATTCATGTACAAAATTATTCAAGCCCCAAAAGTCCATTTTTGTGCAGAATCCTTTATTCTTTATATCACCTAGAAACTTGTAAACTTATAAAACAATTTGTTCTCAATAGCTTTTGTGAAAGCTCTCTAGTTTACATTTACATTTAGTCATTTAGCAGACGCTTTTATCCAAAGCGACTTACAATTGGGGGATACATAAAGCGATTCTTCTTAAAGAGGCAAACAGACACAATAAGTGGTTGTAATACCAAGTTCTTAGACATTGTTCAAATAAGTACAGGCTAGAAAGAGAAGGAAGAAATAAAGAGAGATACTTTTTAAATATTAATAATAAATTTATGATGAAGTCAAGTAGCTTCGAAAGAGATGAGTTTTCAGCTGTCGCTTGAAAATTGTCAGGGATTCAGCATTCCGGATAGGGGTGGGAAGATCGTTCCACCAGCCAGGAGTGGTGAACGAGAATGTTCTGGAAAGTGATTTTGAGCCTCTCTGTGATGGTACCACGAGGCGTCGCTCACTAGCGGATCTCAGACTTCTGAAGGGGATGTAAATTCGTAGTAGTGAGTGGAAGTAGGCGGGGGCTGCGCCTGTGGCTGTTCTATATGCAAGCATCAGTGTCTTGAACTTGATTCGAGCCGCAACCGGCAGCCAGTGCAAGGAGATGAAGAGAGGTGTAACATGGGCTCTTTTGGGCTCGTTGAAGACCAGTCGTGCCGCTGCATTCTGAATCATTTGTAGAGGTTTGATTGTGCTTGATGGAAGTCCAGCCAGAAGAGCATTGCAGTAGTCCAGCCTAGAGATGACAAGGGTCTGGACAAGAATTTGTGCAGCTTGCTCCGTTAGAAAGGGCCTGATCTTTCTGATGTTGTGCAATGCAAACCTGCAAGATCGAGCGGTCTTTGCAATGTGGTCTTTGAAGGTCAGCTGGTTATCAAAAGTTACACCAAGATTTCTGACCGAAGTTGACATTTTGCGATAATATAAACATTCACACAGTCTAGATTTGCTATATAGTCTATATTGGTTTACGTAAGGTTATGTATGTACAGTATGCGTATAAAGTTAGATGTACTATATTTATACATTTAAATATATGGCTGGGTCGATAATATAGTTTACATTTTGAGGTAATATAGACAATCAAGCAATTCTGTTATGGGGTAAAACGGAGAACCCACAGGAACCCCTTGAAAAACATGCAAACTCCACCCAGAAAGGTCTCATAGCCTCAAACCAGGGACCTTCTTACTGCGAGGCCACAGTGCTACCCACTAAGCCACTGCACCACCCACAAGGATATATCTCTGACCTCTTATGGAGCTATTTCTACCTCATTTAACCGTTAAAATGACCCAGTTAATTTAGATGTTACCAAATGAAACATTTTTACACAATCATAAAAGTTAACCTATTTTTCCCCCCAAAATATTTACTAAACAACCTAATGTAGTAAGTCATATTAAATAGGCTGATTCGTAGATGTTAAATACCATTTGTGACTTAATTAAAATGTTATTTAACATCTCTGAATCAACCTATATACATTAAGTTACA